CCAGAGGCACTTTACCACTGAGCTTCACCCTCAGCCATTTTCATTATTTATTTTTAAAAATTTGAGGCAGGGTTTCACTAAGTTGTCCAGGTTGGCCTCAAACTTGTGATCTTCCTGCCTTAGCCTCCCAAGTCACTGGAATTATAGGCTCTATTGCACCCAGCTAGCTCCCACATTAAAATAACTAAAAAAATTTTAATATATTAAACTTAGTATATCCAAGTTATTATTTTAACTTGAGAAATATAAAGCTTAATGAAATACTTTGCATTCCTATAGTGTAGTAAGCCTTTGAAACCAGGTGTGTACTTTATAATTATTGTGTACCCCAATTTGGAATTTTCATCAAGAATGTCAGATCTATATTTAGGTTCCATAAAACATACAGAGGCAAATGTCCATCCAAGTTATTTTGAACACACTTACACTTTCAAATGACTGAACTGAATGTCAGTTTTTAAATTTGAATCTTTTGAAACTTACTTAAATTAAAAAGCCAGCTCCTCATTGTCACCTGTCAAATGATTAATAACATGTGTGACTTGTGATGACCCCTTAACACAGATGCAGCGAGTCATACTCAGACACCAAAGTTGGTCTTTCTTCAGCATAGCTCCATTGTGGAGAAGCTTTTCATAAGTCAGACATCTTAAAGTAGTTAAAGATCTCAGAGTGGATAAGGGAAGAGAACATGGGCAAACTCTTCCAGGACCAAAAAAAAAAAAGACCTTTCACATCATCAGATTCAAATGTCTTAACTACTCGCTTGTCAGCCATTCCAAGGCACTGCATGACAACCTGGAAAGGTACAGGCATGTAAATGGTTGTCATTTGATCTGACTTTAGTCACTATACTATTTCAGTTGTAAAACAGACATGGATATTTTTGTAAAGGGGGGTTGAGAATGTCAAAGAACACAACTAGTGAATCACAAGAACTTTATACCAGTTGCACAAAGCTACTGTACCATGCCCATGAATTCTGCAAGTACATCTTTAAGTTTTATTTTCAGAGCAACTACGAGAGAGTTTTACCAGTGATATTAAGCCCACAGTCCTTCAGATAATCCATGCCCTTGGGAGGTCAGCCTGAGTTTGTGGTTGAGAAAATCTTTAAAACTCGATCTTAGCTTACTGACAGCTAATAATTGCCAAAGGCATTCTAGACATACCAAACTGCATGGCTCCTTCCTTCCAACCCCAGTGTCTTAAATTGGGAACTTGTGCTCACAGGATGGAGGCTTTAGTGGTATCAGACCTCCCTGGCTGATGTGCACAGGCTGATCAAATTCCACAATTAACTTCAGAAACTCTCACTTGGACCAACACTCGTAAATTGAGAGTGGGTGGGTAGAGGAGAGGGGTCTGAAGAATTCAAGTCATTCACAAGATGTCAAGATGAGTTATCTGTCTACAAAGGGTGTCTTTTATGGGGAAATTGCATTGCTACTCCACAAGCAGCAGTTGCCATGTTATCTCGGTCACACTACAGGGAGCACATTTAGGAATGTCAGCACAAAAGGCAGAGATGCAAAAGCCTTGTCTGGTGCTCTGAAACTGATTCTGATATTGCAAAGAGGGTAGGAGAGTGTAGCAAGACCATGCTGTCCCGCATAACTGCCAAAGGCATCAACTATTCCACAGTCAGTGACCAAGAATGCACGTTGACCCTGCAGAACCAATTCTTTCAGGGATGGAAGCCAACGAGGGCTCTAGATGATACAAATTGCCCTTTGCTGCTCTTTCTCAATTCCCTGCCCCAATAAATCACTCTGAAATGGTTATTTGCACCACAAAGGCTGCTGAACACATTTTCTAATAATGGACCATCAGTAACAGTGTGATAGCATCTTATTTGAATTTGAATTATTCAAGGTTTAAGTAGTATAACAAAAAAGGTCTCAATGAAATCACATTTTAAGCACAATTTGAAATAATAGGATTCTCCTCGAAATTTCAAACTATATCAGAAATGTAATCATTTCCAAGCTGGCAGCTCAAGAGAACCATAAACCATGTCTACCCTACAGCCACATGGTCTGACCCGCTTAGCTAATAGGCAGATATATCCACCTGCTTGTATGAATGTGTTACCTACAGCCCAGTGCTGGTATTAATCAGCATGGCAAAGACATTGGAAATTGCCATGCCATGATTTAACCTCAGTATGATTATGATTTAAAATCTTTTAAGCATCTTATATTACCTAGTTATTCATTAAAAAGTATTCCTAATACTAATACTAAAGAATGTACTTGAAATACAGGAATTTAGACTATGATTGCAAAATACTATGAATGAGATAGGTGGCAGATCACTGCAATAAGTCACGAGGAAGAGAGAAGGTAGTACTCTGTAAAATAAGCTAGTCATGCTGTGAAAATAAAAAGAATTAAAGATTAAAAAAGCATACCACTGAAGTTTGAAAAAAAAAAAAGTTTGGTGTCAGGGATGCATGTCAACCTGCATGAACCAAGATGTTGCCTGGCTAAGGCACGAAACATTTTTTAATGGTTTCAAAGGAGGGTGATGAGAATAGGCGACAAGAATACATTGAGTGATTTGTTCCCCCAGCACCAGCCTAGGACTTCAATGAAGGACAAAGAGACATCAGGTACATGTGCATTGCAAGGACAGCAGATATGGGTTAGGGTGGGTCAGTAGAGCTGGGCAGCACTTGGCTCTGCCATTTTACCCCTTCCCTGCAGGAGGTTCCCTTTGCCCCCTGAGGACTTTCAAGCTTAGTCTACAAGGGACCCAATATGTGGCTCCTCACTGTTGATTGCAAAGATGGATAGTCACTGCTGACCAGAGAGGCACAAACAATCATGGAAACAGGGCAACATGGGCTGGGGTGAGGCTCAGTGGTAGAGCATGAGCTTAGCATGAATAAGGCCCTGGGCTCAATCCCTAGTACCAAAAAAACTCGGAGGACAGCAACAACGGACAGACAGCTCTGTAAACCCTCCCCATGATAAATGGGTAGAAAGAGGACAAATGAATCAACGCCTGCCTCCAATCTTCAACTCCAGGTGCATAAGTAAAAGTCTGGTCTTCACACAGAGATGAACTGTCATTTCCAGCTAAGTTGGTTTTGGTTTATGGTTTATTTATTTTGGTACTGGGGATTGAACCCAGAGATGCTTTACCACTGAGCCTCATTCGTAGTTCTTTTTATTTTGAGATAGGGTCTTGCTAAGTTGCTGAGGCTGGCTTTGAACTTGTAATCTTTCTGCCTCTGCATCTCAAGTCACTGGGATTACAGGTGTGTGCCACACCTGGCTATTTATTCATTTTTTCTAATATCAAAAGAGAACTAGGGAATTATGATATTTGCCCAAGACATTATAAAGGGGTCTGCTACTAGTGCATGGAGACTCTGTAGGGCACATTTGGGATTAGGAATTGAAGAAAAATTTGAACTGTTCAATATTTGTAATTCCATGGAACTTAATACTGCTCAATAAAATAGTCACCAGACTATTTAAGGTTTATCATTAAAAGAAAGAGAAATGGCATCCTAGTTACAGACTTATCCACCTTTCTTCTGATTTACATATGGGAAATTTGCTTGGCATAGTAAATATTTGGATTTGAAAGGTTTTCAGGAATGCCTGGACGAGGACATGAAACCCCCTACCTCAGAGTTCTCCCGCTGCTCCTGCTGAGGATACCCACAGGGAATTATTAGGGCATAAGTGTGACTATGACTATTACATTTGAAATTCATTTTGTTGTTTTTGTTTGTTTTAAAAAGCACGTAAGGCTGAGGACGTAGCCCAGTTGTAGTGTGTTCATTTAGCATGCACAAAGCCTGGATTCCCAACACAACTAAAATTTTTAAAAAAGAGGCCATCTAACTGCATGCTACATAAATATGTAAGGAATGGATGTAGTATGCTCCTACTCAATCTAATTAGAATTTATATGCAAAGCCATCTGGGGATTAGACTATACAAAACACCACCTGATAAGGGACCCTAAAATAGTTGACCAAAAACTCTAGTCGCAAGATTTCACTTGTATTATAAGCAACAATAGACATCCAATTGAATTTAGATTCAAAGTTAAATGAACATGAAAGAAGTAATCAAGATAAAGTCTGCGTCCAAACAACATCAAAATTCAGGAAACTGTGATGCAAAGAGATACATATTCCAAAGAAAATGGCATGAAAATACCTAAAGATTTTTTTTTCCTGAGAACCACTGGATAGAACTCCAGTGGTAAATCATAACCTTCAGTTTCAAAATAATCTGCAGTGACAGTGTACTCTAGGAACGGCCCCTTTGTCAGCTTTTACAACTGTAAAAATAAGTGAGTGGGACAACTAGGTAGGACTAAGGGGGAGGCAACATCCTCTAAAAGATGACATAAAGGAATACTTTACATGTGAACAAACTTTGTCCCTGATCAGTTTATCCCCTCAGATGGTAAAAGATGGTATCTATTTTTATTTGCTTTCAGTATTGATGCAGGAATCAGTGAGATGGTGCATTATTTCTGTATAGATAGGGGAAGACAGAGGATGATTCTGAAATTATACAAATCCAACTATGACAGTACTCAAGTCTAGTCTGACTTAATAATTATGAAGGTTTCTTTGGCACTGAGGGAATGGTAAGGAAGTACAAGCCATGATCTTGTTCCCACATGCGGCCACTTTCCCCTAGGAAGGCGGTCACCTGGCCAACATGCGTCAGCCTTGTCCTGGAACCTGGGGAACCTGGAGCCAATGTTTCTCCCTGTTGACTTCTCTCAGGACCCCAAGTTCACACACTCAATATCCTGCCCCTGTAATAAACACCAGGCAGTTACTCTTCAGACCTCTTTAAGTACAGCCTCTGACATCCTGTATGCTGCATTAAGAATTTTAACTGCAGATTTTCTAGTTCCTGGCACATGTGACATGACAGATGGCACCTGATAATGACAGGGAAACTGGGGCATTCCTTAGCTAACACAGTATAATGTGAGACTTTAAAAAAAAAAAAAATTACCTGTTTAGGCTGAGCTCCCTTTGAGAGAATGTCAAGTAAGTCAGCGGAGGAGATGAAATAGAAGCGAGGAAAAGCTACACGCTTGGTTTCCAAGTATTCAGCAAGAGCTTTTTCACAAAGAGAAAGCCTAGATGAATGAAAAATCTTTTTAAGCACACCTTGCCCATTTACTTGTCGACACTTCAACAGAACAAACCCACTCCTTTCACCTGTCCATTCATCACAACAAGCTCACTGTTGAACAGAGTGTCTCCCCCCTCGACACCACCACCCTGCTACAATGGATGCATAAGTCATACAAACTGGGAGGATGAGGACACATACATACACACACACATACACACACACACACACACACACACACCTTAATTGAGGCTAAATATCAGACTTGGGTTTATTTCACCCATTGGCATTGTTCAAGCTGAGCACAAGTACATTAGTAAAATGTGACTGCTGAAGGGTCCTTCCTGCCACACCGCACATTGAATGTCTACAAAACACAACTGTCTTCCATCCTCCCACGTCCTCAATGGAGTCATATGATCTAGAATCATTTCTGCTTTATTGTCCTTAGCTAACCAAAAATGAGTCAGAGACCCAGAATCCCTAAAGATTATTGGCTGAACAAAAATGAGTAAATTCTGTAGACAAACCTCTCATTTTAGGAGCTGATGTGCCCATCTTAAATCAAAAGCCAGAATATTTGTGTGACTAGTAACTATTGTAGAATTATATTTGAAAATGAATTTTAAAATGTCCCTCAGGAAAGGGTTTCTAAAGTGTTAGCAGGCTCTCTGTGGATAATTTCTAATAAAAAAAATATACACAAACTAAAATGAGTACCATCCTACTTCCCAGCATACAGCAGGTGTTCAATTAATAGCTGCATAATGGTTTGATGAAAGAATTGGTCAATTGCATCAATGCTTGCAATATAATATTCTAATTTTACCATTATAATAGTTCTTTTGAAAAACAGGATATATTTGAATTTAACTCCCAATAGGTATACCATCTAAAATCTACAAGGCAACTAGATAGTTAGGAGCAAAATTAGAAAATAATTTAGTAGAGATTGAACCTGAAATAATATGAAGTCAAATATTTTTAGGTATATGAAAGAAAAATTATAAAATTAAAGCAAACCAACCACTTTAGATAGCTCTATACTTACCTGTACTGTAAATCCTTAAGTTTTTCATAGAGAAGAGGTCTACAGGCTGCTTCTAAGACATTTTTTATCTTGGCTGTCTCCAACATTAACTCCTACATGAAAATACAACATGGACACTGGAAATTTCTAAATTCTACATCCACTTTGGGGATTAAAAAACAAGGAAAAACATACACTGAGAAAGCAAGGTTAATGAGACTAACAATGCCTGACACTGTATCTGTCCGCTTTTGCTTTTTAAATTTTTAGGTGAACCAAAGACAATGTATAAACACACAGCTTTGGTCAAAGGAAATGTTATGGTAGTGAGCCCACATGGAATTTCTCTTTTGAACCAAATTGTTAAAACAATAAATAGGAGGGAATAAGAAGGGAAGGAGGTGAAGAGACACACACACCCCAGAATCTCGAAGAGTACCCGAGTAAAAAGAAGAAAAAAATTAACTCCCATTTGTAAAAATGGTATAGCTACTGCTCTTTGCCCTAAATCTCTAAATCACCTCTTATTGTCATGTGCACATCTTCATGTGTTCTGTATGACTCTTATGGGAGCAGGGGCAAACTGGTAGTATTATTTGTTACATGTCTCCCCTTTTCAGCCTATCCTTCTTACTGCAGGGATCAACAATCAGTGCCTCGTGGAACAAATATGGCTTGCTGTCTGCTTTTGAATGACTCTGCTAAGAATGGTTTCTACATTTTTAAATAGTTGAAAATTCCCAAAGCAGCATATTTTGTGACAAATCAAAATTCTATGAAATTCAAACTTTAGTGTCTATAAATAAGGTTTTCTCAGTGCATGGTCATACCCGTTTATGTAGTGTCTGTTTTCCTTCATGCTACAGAAGCTGCAAGATTTGCAAAACCTAAAATATTCACTACCTGGCCATATATGTAAAAAAGTTTCCTGACCCTCATTTATTGAAATGAAAAAAATGCATTCATTTTTGTAAGTCTGATACTCCAAATCATGGTTCTTTACAAAACTTTCATAATGTTCTGAAAACTTCCCAAGCATAGAATTCAACTCGTCTCTGACAAACCTTAAATTCAGCATCTACCCCATCAAATCTTCTGGCGTCTTCCACAAGCTGGATTCGAATATCTTCTGAACAGACAAAAATGCATTCCAAGTGTGACCAAGTTCGCTGGACTTCCATCCAAGTAAAGATGACAGAGTCTAGTATGTTTAATTTATTTTGCCAGCTTAAGACTTGCTCAATGAAATATTCCACATACTTGCTTTGAAGGAGAGTCTGCAACTGAACCTAAGAGAAAGGCAAAGAACTGTGAGTAGTGGAATTGGTAGACCATGTGCCACAGGGAAGGCATCATTCTGCTTATTGCTGGATTCTTGGACCTGACATATAATGCCCAGAATAGTCATTCAATAAGCTTTTGCTAAATGACTGAATGAGTGAATTAATGGTAGTAAATATTCATGTTAGCATTTTTCCCAAAAGAGAAAAATATAAGCAGCTGCATTTGATGTCTTTACAAGAAGACCACGCATCTCTTTGCAGGCAGGAGAAAATATGGAGCCCTTGGGTGCAGCTCTAGGAGTTAAACTGCTCTTTTATCACTCTTCCCCGGTCCCTGCCTGTTAATCATTCCAAAGTTATGCGCATGTATGTGTGTGTGCTTCAGTATCCAAAATATAAAAGCAACTTCCTTCCAGCCTGCTAGGCCCTCAAGCTTCCATTGCCCTCTGTTTTCAGGTGACCACTAAGCTCTGCAGCTGGCTTATCACCATGGCTTGCTTTCATGCTGTGGAGTTTGGTTGGCACTGCTCACCACATTCAGATGCTGAAATCTCACAAGGTCACTAAGTGGAATGGCCTCTTCTCATTCTCCTCCACTAGGTATTTAACCCAACCCAAGTGATGAATCTATGGGAGAAAAACCCATTCTGAGGTCTTTGTGATACCATAGAATCCTATTTCTATTATTTCCCAGGCCCCTCCTCCTCCTCTCTCTCTGCCCTTTTGTCTTCTCTTATAAACCAAAATGCAGCCTTTTTCAAGGTTCAATTCCTAGTTGTTTTTTCTTCTTTTTGGATATACATGACAGTGAGTGTATTTTGACTTATACACACATGGAGTATAACTTATGATCCCACTCTTGTGGTTGTACATGATGTGGAGTTACACTGGTTGTATATTCATATATCAATGTAGTAAAGTTATGTCCAATTCATTCTATTGTCTTTCCTATTCCCATTCCTGCCTTTTATTTCCCTTTGTCTAATCCAATGAACTTCCATTTCCCCCCTTATTGTGTGTTAGCATCCACATATCAGAGAACATTCTGCCTTTTGTTTGGGGGGATTGCCCCAGCTTATTTCACTTAGCATGAGAATCTCTAGTTTCATCCATTTACAGGCAATTATCAAGAATAAAAGAAACAATAAATGTTGGCAAGCAGGTGGAGAAAAAGGTACACTTAAATATTGGTGGTGGGACTATTAATTGGTACAACTATTTTGGAAAACAGTATGGAGATTCCTCAGAAAACTTGAATGGAACCAATATTTGACTCAGTTATCTCAATCCTCAGTCAAAAGACTTAAAATCAGCATACTACAGTGACACAGCCACATCAATGTTTATAGCAGCTCAATTCACAATAGCTATTGCTACACAATCAACCTAGGTGCCCTTCGCCAGATGAATGAACAAAGAAAATGTGGTATATACTCACAGTGGAATATTACTCAGACTTAAGAAGAATGAAATGATGGCATTTGCTAGCTGGCTTATCTTCTATGCCTCTTTATCTAGCTCAACAGTTCTCAAGATACCAACAATGACCTCTCAACCTACTATGCTACTAAACCTCTGTGTTGGGCTCTAGTCTAACTTTCCATCCTTACATGAGTACTTTCCATACTAAACACATGAATATATAATGCTGACATCTCTCTATATCAGTTTCTCTCCATAGTGCTTTATGTCTAACTATAGGTATTATGTTCCCCAAATAATCTCTTCTACCTTTCTTGTCCAAAGAGATCCCAGCACCTATCATCTTACAATTCAAGACCATATGCGCTGTACTCAATTTGTATTTCTAGCTTTATTTTACAATTTTTCCATAAGGACAATCTATAATCCAAGGAAAACAAATTCTTAAAATAACTGTGAATGACAGATACTTTCTGACATTCCAAGATTCTATTAATATTGTCGCCCTTGCCTAAACATCCTTTTCTAAAGTCTATTTTTCTGTTGAATGCAAGCCCATCCTTCAAGGCTCAGCCTACACACCATCACCTTTTAGGGACCTCTGCAAGATTTTCACCTTCTCCAATCAGAAAGCCTATGTTTATTAGACTCTTTGGATGCCTTATATTTGTTTCCTTCCTCAAGTGTAAGTTTCTTAAAAATAAGTGTTTATAGTTGCGGACCCCACATGGTATAGTACGTGGAGCCCAGAATAAGTAGCTGCTCAATGAATGAATAAATGTTGAGTATTAGAACTTAGAAAAAAATCTAAAGTCATTCATTAGTATTAAAAATCTATCATAAAACTGTCCACCTTACCTGGTTGTGCTCTAGAGTTTCAAAAAGTTGTTCGTCAGACTTCAGTAATGGAATGCTTGTTCGATAGTGAACTTCATAAGAAAACTCCATAGTTGCCCAGGTCTGGCTAATTTCAGTAATAACCTGGTAATCAAAAGCATGAATCTATTAATGTATACAAAGTTTAATTTAGGATCAATATCTAGGCTATTGCCTAGAATTATTTTTAATGTTTTGATGAATTTTTTAAAAAGCAGAGTAATATCAAATAGTACTGGCCTCACCTTTTTCCTCTAAATAATTAATGGTGATGAGGTTTGCAGAATAAATTCTACCACACCAAAGGAATGAACATCACATTCATACCAAACATAGATTGGATCTGAGTTTTACGTCCTTCCCCATAAGACTCTGCAAGCAGGAGGGGACTCAAAAGATTACCTACAGGCCTAGTAGACATTATTTACACAGTAGTCAGCAGTACAGGTGACAGGTAGTACTCTGAGTGCCTGAATGTCAAATGCAGTTCCCTATGTAAATCTGGGTGAAGTACCTCTCTATGCCTCAGTTTCCTCATCTGTAAAACAGAGATAATAATATCACCTACCTCCAAGGGTTAAATGAGTTCATATAAACAAAGCACCAGGAATGGCACTTGCTCCCAGTAAAGGTTACCTACACATAAGTGCTTTCTGCTGTCTTCGATTGGTCCAACCTCCTGTTTGAAACTTTTACTGTCCTTCTGAATGATGACATTTCCTGCCCAACTCACCCACCCAACCAGCAGAGCAAACTGGGATTCATGTCTTCACATCCCAGGGTATCCAAACGAGTTTTGCATCTATGCTAAAGAACAATAGTAGGCTCAGAAAAGAGACTCTTCAGGGTAGCCCTGCAGATGCTACCTTCTCGGTCCCCAGTTCCTTCACAGCTTTGTCCACAATGCTTCGGACATCATCTTCCACTCTGTGCAATTGCAATGCAAGCAGATCCGCCAGTGTTGTGGCTTCATTTATTGAAAAGTTAACCTGATTAGGAAGGAAAAAAAGTAGAATTGACACTGCATATCTATGAGGGCTCCCTTTACCTAATAGCCACAGGAATGTATTACAACTAGAATACACTTACGGGGGCCACAGGTATACCTGGAGTGCCGAAAAGTATGGACAATACAGTCCTTTAACTCACAGTTGCTTAGGCACCTTGGGCCACAAGCCAACGCCGCCACCATACTCACACTAAACTACTGTCTTTTGTCTCAGATCCTCCCTTTGTCGACAGGCTTCTTATCTCTTTTGCCCAGAAAACCCATTTTTTAAAAAGAGGATCTTATTGTTCATTTATTATAATTTGGTTGAAGTCCCAGGAATCAGGCAGTAGCTCATTTGTCTTTTCTTCCTGAAGTACCCTATTCACTGCACGTAATTCCCAGCTGCTTCCGTGATTTAACCTAGTTTTATCACTAATTTAATCTTAGCTCCTTGGCAAAAAGATACGCTAATACAAAAAGTCATTATTCATACTTACCATGTGAAAAAATAATTCACATTTATTTCTTCATTATCTTGTTGACACGTCCCCCCCCCCCAGCCCTCTCCAGTATTTGGTTCTTAAGACGCACTTGGCTCTTCTACTTTCCAAACTCAACCACGTCCCTTGCAAGAGAGAGGTGACCCAGCCGCATGGTTGCAGAAAAGCCATTTCCTTTCCTGCTCCTACAAAGAATATCAAATCACAGCTTCTTGGAAGTTGCAGCCCCCTGTCTCTCCCTACCCTATACTATTTCCTAGAACCCCCCACTTCTCTGCATAAGGGAGACTTTAATTCAGGTTTTCCCAGGACTGAGGACTTTTCTAGTATGTGGGACTTTCAGTGCTAAATCCTGTACCTAGAAAGTCCTGGGAAAACCAGAAGAGTCGGCCACTGTCTCTCTGTAGAGCTTTTGACCTCAATCCAGAGCTGATGGGAATCAGGTCTGTCCTAGAGAAAGGATGAGCAGGGATGTGCAATGGGGCCACCCTGAATAGTTGGGCAATTTATGCACTGAAATGGATACGGGCCCAAATGGCACATGGAGACTGAACCCAGGTTCTGCCCTGCTGTTCTGGGGGCAACCTGGAGGAGGATTCTTTTTTTTTTTTTTTTCTATATTTTCTACCAGAGACAGTACCTTTTTCTAGTTTGCAGAAAAGTATAGCAGGCAGGCAGAGATTGAATTGACATGAAATTATATTGGTAGAAATATTAGAAGGGGTTAGAGATCAGGGTTCACAATCAACTACGTAGGTGATTCAATAAAGATTTTCTGAGTGAATAAATTAAATCAATTATAAGGTCTAAATATTTGATGACTAAAAGATTAGAGAAATTAATCATGATGATGATGATGATGATCACGACTATGATAACAATGATGATAGCAGGTTAAGGGACCATTTGTGGAGTGTTTACTACATATCTATGACCTAAACAAATGTAAATAATGCTTGTCATGCAGACTTGGTGAACAAATTGGAGATGCATTATTTTTATTGTATGGGACAGTCAATGAAGGTACAAAGAACAAGTAACTGGCCAGTGACCCCAGAGTGACTCCATGTTAGAGTTGAGCCATAAAGGCTAGGCTGGCTCTGGTCCCATGTGTCCCTATTCTTCCAACCTTCCTTCACATCATGAGAACCTTTCTACACAGTGTGCACCTCAAGTTCTTGATTTGCTTGAGAAGAAGGCACACAGACAGATCTTCCTTTTATGTATTTTAAATTCATAAAGGTCACCTTTTCTGAAGTGAATAAATTAAATCAAGTTTAAGGTAGATGTAATTGCTTTTCAATAGACACAGAAAGGGAAAGAGAGAACCCAAGTGTCACAGACACATGACAATCATTTTTATGTCTTCATAAGATTAAAAGCATCAGATGACCATCAAGATGCCTCCATGCTCAGTGAACTGCGGGGGAAGGGTGGATCGCAATGTCACAACTCCCTCTCCCTCCAAATTCACTTCTATGCCTTCTAGTCCCCTCTGCAGTAGGATTCTTTGCTACCATTTGGTGCTCTATAATAACTTTTCACATTATTTCATTTGCTTCTTCCTCTAATATATAAGAGCAGTTAGTATTCTTCATTTTACTCATTAAACAAACTAACTAGAGAGGTTAAGCAAGTTGCTTGAAATCACACAGCTAGAAAGACATAAAACAGGGTGAAAACTATGCTTTTTGGAGGTCCAGTCCACTGAGCCTATCTCAAAGAATTTGGCCTCAGGTAAATGACTAGAGGCTTTTTCAAACATTTCACTCATTTCAGAAGATGGCAATCAAGGAATTACACTGCTCAGAGATCCAGGACACTCACCCCAATGGCCTTCATCAGCTGGTGCCAATGCCTGTCCCTGAGGGCAGGGCTCTGTAACTCTGCGACAGCTCTCAGGGAGGTTGTCATGTCCTTTACAGCACCTTCCAAGCCTGCATATGCCTCCCAGACGCGGACCGCCTTGTCCAGGGACCAAATTTCCTAAAGGAAAGTAGGAGGGGAGAAACAGCTTCCTAGATGTAATGATACATTGTATAATTTGCCTCCTGTGGAAGAATAAATGTATTTTCCCCATCACTGAATTAAGAAATAGAGTAAAGACGTTTAAACACCTGGGCTGGGACCAAAATCAGAATGAAAAGGGATGTGCTTGCTAACGTATCACAAATCCAGTACACATGAGCCACCTGGACACACCAGTTTCTTGGTCATAAGATCTAAGTGTATGTCCCATGGGCCATCAAATGTGGGGACCTGAGAGACCACAGGACATATGCAATGAAGAAATGCAAATAAGCACAAAATGAGGTTGTCAATCCGGATCCCAAAGACAACCCTTTCCAATATCTGAATTGTTCAAGTGGTAGCCCTGAAATGTGGTTATCCTTACCTTTTGCATGGAACTTAAGTCTTCACTGATTTTAAGATGTGTCAAATAGGGAATAACACCAGCAATTGTGAATAAGAAAACCCTCAACAAATCAACTGGATTTCAGTACAGAGCAGAGGACAATGCAATTGTCTAAAATAAAGATCTGCAGTTGAAAGTGGGAATTAAGTTGTCACCGTGCTGAGATAACCAAGGGTACAGAATGAGGTACCATGATCCCATAACAAACACAAAAATAAAAACATTCTAAGTAGGGTCTTTGGTACTGGAATAATATGGGAGAGCAAACTGGGCAGAACTGGTAGTGGCTGAGCACAAGACTAAGTAAGTCAGGGGCAAAAATATTCTGGGATGAGAAGAAAGAACAAGGCCCTCACCTTTTTTTTTTTTTTTTTTTTTTTTTTAAGCTGGGTTCTTGCTGAGCTGCCCAGGCTGGTCATGAACTCCTGAGCTCAAAGAATCCTCCTGCTTCAGTCTCCTGAGTGAGCAGCTGGGACTATAGGCAAATGCCACCACATCTGCCAGGCCCTGCCTTTTTAAGTTGTTTTGTGAGGGAGGATGGGGGGATACTGGGGATTGAACCCAGGGGCATTTTACCATAAAGCTACATTCTCAGCCCTTTTGATTTTTTTTTATTTTGAGAGAGTGTCTAAGTTGCTGAAAGCCTAGCTTACTTGCTGAGGCTGACCTTAAATTTATAACCCTCCTGCCTCCCAGCTGCTGGGATTATAGTTGAGCACCACTGCACTGGGCCCCTTGCCATTTTTAACTTTATCCAAAGTTCTATGCTCTTCAGAGGGCATATGGTTATGGGAAGTATTAGACGCTACAATCAAATAAGCTAAGTTTTGTAAATACTGAACCTCCCTGAGATGCTAGACTAACCATGGCAAGGATGAGAATACTCCATGGAAATCTAGATGTGGCCTACTCCTACTAGATGCCCCAAATTCCAGAACCAAAAGGTATCTTTTTTTTCAGTTACAAAATGCTCATGGTAACTAAGGAAGGAAATCAAGGACTTAATCCCAAACTAACCCCTCAGCCCTGATACTCTTAATCTTCCTCTCTGTTTAGACAACCATAGGAAGTTCATGATTATAGCTGTTTCTCATAAATTCATTAGCCCTAATATGCGTTCATCAACTCATTCACAGAAAGGCAGGCTTGATTAGAAGTGCAACTGACTAAAAGTGGAAAAAAAAATACTATCTGATATCATTCTATTTGAAGTAAATAAGGACATGTAGCCCAGCACACCAGATTCTAGGTTAGGGAAGATGGAAGGAGGTGGTGCTGAGAAAGATAAATTGTTGTAATAGACAGTTATGGAACTCGCCTTGGCAAACCTTCTGAGCTCTACATCCATCTGTTCCACATTAATCTGTCTCCACTGGGTTTTAGTCCAATTATCAATGCTTCTCTGAAAATGCACAAGCAGATAAAAGTGTCAACAACATTTGGTGAAAGCAAGTCTCCACAGCAAAATATATAAACTGATGATACACAGTGACTCTATCATCCAGTAGAAAGACGATTTTTTAAATATTAATTGCACTTGTCAAAACTTCCCTATCACCAAAACAAAAAAGCTGTCAGAACATGTCAAGCTTGAGGCTAAAACATTATGATATATTAATTTTTAGTAGCAATTATAAATTCCATATATGCACAGTCATTATCACTTAATCCTGTGTACTCTATATTGATAAGTATATTATTAAATAACAGGTTTCTATAATCCTGTTATAATCATGAAACAAAATCAGCTTTCACAAGAAAATCTTTATCCATTATAAAACAAAACTTTCATTAAGCTTTTATTGATCACATTTTCTATCTTAACATATTTCTATTTGGCTTGCAACTAACAGGAAAATTTTTTAAAGTACATTTTGCAATATGCCAAGTTCCCTAGAACTTAATTTTGTACTTAAGTTTTTAACTTAACCACACTCAAATTAACTTTGTTTTTAGTCTTTTTTATATGCACTCACATATAAAGCATGGTCTTATACATTAGTTTATATGCACAAATGACTGTGTATATGTAACATATACTTATATATTAATTTTTATTTATATTCTATATAATCCCCCAAAAGGATCTGAGTCACTTAGCTCATTACAAAGTTTCATCCTATACTAAAGACAAAAACAAATGACATTCAGGGAAGCAGCTTCCACTATCAGAGATGCATGAACACTAATTCTCAGGGTGGGAGATAAAATCTAATGTGTACATATTTTAAAATGTTAAATCCAAACAAAATGATATAGACACTAACAATTGCACAAGTATACAAAAGAATTTTTGAAAGGAAAAAAAGAAGCATGCTTTGCAAAAGCACATCTTACTCTAACATAAATAATGACATCCCAGAGTCCCTTGAGCAATTTTATTTCTTTGCGACACTGCTTCATTTGTCTGTACTCTGGAAGAGCCACTTCGAAAAGACGAGCAGAATCTTGCATCTGCATCATTTCTTCTTCTAAGGCCTCAAGCTCCTGATTTGCCTAAGGAGAAAAACAAACAAAACAAAACACCTGCACACAAAGTGCCAGAGAGAGAGAGAAGCCACACTGTCCTGTAGTTCTGGTTACTTCACTATTTCAAACTTTGATATTGGCCAAATTCTATTATTATAAAACTGTGTGCACATACAAACGAATATGTAATAAAGCCCATCATTATGCACAACCATAATGCACCAATAATAAATGTGGAAAAAACTCTGATTTTTGAAAAGAAAATTCCAAAAAATATTTCTGCAGTATTATTATTGGTAAAATGTAGAAAATTTTCGGCTAGCAGATTCACAGCTACTTAAAAAAGCGAAAGTTAATAAGTGCAACAATGTTACCAATACTTTCCTTATACACATTTCAGCCAAATTTGCTATGGCATAGGATTTCAATGGAAACAATCGATTTTCATTGTACAGGCTGTGCTATGGACTAAAAGGTTATGCTGTAGAAATTTCTATGTAAGAATAAATTAACTTTCTATAATCACTTAGTTAAAAATAAAAACTATGTTTTTAAAATTACCCTAAACATTATTAGGTAATATTAATGGCACTCAGGAGAATCATAAATAAAACACAGGAGCTTAAAAACACAACCCAATATAAAAATTTCTCCTTATGATCAAACTCTCCAAGGTTCACCTACCACCTCATCTATGTGGAAAAGTTTACATTTTTCCTCAAATATAAGCTGGCTCATTTTTTTTCTTATTCAATGAGTCATCTCTTAATTTTAGTTTTTTATCAACAAATTAATGTATTTTCATGGTGGAAGTTGGAGGTGTAAGAACAACTTTTAAGGCAGAAAAGCCATTCCTGGAGTTGGTCTCTGGTTCTGGTGCCATTTCTGTGACTCTCCAGTCTGTATCCCAGCTGCTCTTGATTAAGTGTAGACATTCAACTTGGTTAGTAGCTTTGCAAAGAAGGACTGGCTTTGTTTTATAATTTACACTTCCTCTTTCTCCTCTCAATCTTAAACAATTATATTACTTTGGTTCATTTTTAACTTTGAAAAATAATACTTTGCTGGGAAATGAGATTGATCAAATTATGCCATGTGTGCAAGGAGTGGTGGCACATGTCTATGATCCCAGAGGCTCAGGAGACCGAAGTAGGAGGATCACAAGTTCAAAGCCAGCCTCAGCAACTTAGGGAAACTCTTTCTCCAAGTAAAATATTTTAAAAAGGGTGTCAGGGCTGGGGATATGACTCGGTGGTTAAGTGTTCCTGGGTTCAATCCCAGTTACAAAAAAAAATTGTGTATAATGTGTATAATATGGTACAGTGAAACCCACTATCATGTATTATTATAATGCACCAATTTAAAAAAAAAAACCACTTAATCCTTTTGTGTACCATTAGCTTTTAACTCTTTAAATTGACAAAAACTTATGTACAACATATTTTAAAATATGTATACAGTGTGACATAACTCAATAAAGCTAATTAACATGTATTACCTCACATCTTTTGGTGGCAAGAGCGCTTAAAATCTACTTTTTAAAAATGGATAACAATGTTTTCACACCGTTCCAATGTTCATTAGATTTCCTACTGGATCTACTTCATTAGGAATTTTCAAAATACAATACACTGTTATTGACTACATTCACCAGGCTGTTCAATACATTAATGCCTTGGTATCTGTTGGGACTGGTTTCAGAAACACCAGGAATGCCAAAGTCCACAGATGCTCAATTCCCTCATATAAAATGGTGTAGTGTTTGCTTATAACCTACACGCATCCTCCCATATACTTTAAATGATTCCTAGGCTAATTAAAATGTCTCATATAAATAGCTATATTGTTTAGGTGACAAGAACAAAAAAGTCTGTATTATTCAGTATATATGCAATTTTTTTCCAAAATATTTTTCATTTGCAGTAGTTGAATCTAAAGATAAAGAATGTGTAGCTATGGAGGGCTCACTGTACATCAGTCGAACTTATTTCTAATTGAACTTTGGTATCCTTTGACCAAGCATACAAAGCTTCTGTCTCCCCAACCTCAATTCTGCCTATTAAAGTTTCAACTAGGAAAATGAAAATATAAGAACTCTGTTTTTGTTTTCACAGGCTATATATACCTTTACAAACAAGAAATGGAATTTTTAAATTTTTTTTTTTACAAATATGAAAAATTTCATGCACATAAAAAGATGTGTATGTTTATATGGATCCCATCCAGTTTATGAAATGTTACTGTCTCAGCCTCCTGAGTTTCTGGGATTGTAGTCAACCCAAATTTTCTGATTTTTCTCTTTCCTGTTGCTAATTAAACCACTAAAACCTAAATTTTTGTCTCCTTATTTTCACTACATATGTAGGTATTACAAAGTGCTAAAAAGTTAAAGGTTTTGATATTATATAGCTTTATTCTTCCAAAGACATGTCAATTTTTTTTTTCTGTTTTTGGTACTGAGAATTGTAACCTCTGACCCACATCCCCAGCTCTTTATATATTTTGAGACAGGATCTTACTAAGTTGCACAGGGTGTCACTAAGTTGCTAAGGCTGATTTTGAACTCATGTCCTCCTGCATCAGTCTGAGCCACTTGAATTACAGCATGAGCCACCACATCCAGCTGCTCAATTAATATTTTTGAGGAACACCTATCCATGATGATGTGAGTGAAGTTCACTAATTTCTAGTACGATATAATACTATAACATGCAAAAATATTTATTCTACTTATAATGGTTGTTTAGGCTTCTATTTCACTAGTGGTAGTAGGATTTTTCACAGTCCCTGGTGTATAAAGTTTGATGAATAGTTTTTTATCTTTTAATGGTTTAAAATGTCTTCCAAGAGCCTCTATCATGAATGAAAGTTGAATGACATTCAAAGAGTTTGGCACTTCTTGAGACAATAACTTGATTTTCTCTTCAAAATGTATAATCACATTAGTTGATTTTCTAATGTTAAGTTTTCTTAGAATGAACTTAAGTTGGTATAATTTGATTGTTTTGTTTAGGATATGTACTCAAGACTGATCTACAATTTTTCCTTTCTCATTCCTTTTATGAAAATTACAGATGCTTCATAGATAGCTTCTGAGTATTTATTCTTCTGGTTTGTGGAATCACATGAAGGAGAAGTGGTTCTTCAAAACTTCCTAGAATTTTACAATCTTTGTTGGAAGATTTTTTTTTGAACTATTGGTTGTTTTTCTTGTTTTACTACTGGTTAATTTTTAGTAATTTTATGACTATTCAGAATCATTACTTGAGATAATTTTAATAAATTATTTCAAAAATTATGTTCACTTTATATTCAGTTTTAATTATGCTCCATGAATTTTTGAATTTCTGCTCTTTCTATATGCTATCAGTCCCTATTTTATCCTAGAGACTATTATTTCTTTTTCCTACTTTGCTCAGTCCACCAGGGGTTTGCCAATATAATTAGACTTTTCTGATAACGACGTTTGGCTTCCTTGATTCTTTTCGGGAGGTACTTGCACTAGAAATTATTTTAGTGATAAATTTCAATTTTGTTTATCCAAAGTATATTTATTTTTCTCATTATTGAAATATACTTTCATTTGGCAGAATTTGAAAGCTACCATCCAGTGCCTTTCAGGTTCCTGATGAGAGGTATACTATCGACACAATCATTTCTGACAGGTGACCTGTCTTTTCTATCTGGCTTCTTTCACAATCTTATCTTTGCCTTTGATAACAATGTCATGCCTTTGGTGGAGTCTAATTAGATAAATATTAGATATGTATACTGAACAATCACACCAAGAAAATGACTTGAAGAAAAAGTTGTTCCAGTCCTAGTATATTTAAAGTATCCTTCTATATATTCTGTACCTATAAGGATAAGCATCTCTGACTTTTAAACATGTAACTTTATGCTGTTGTGGTATAGAAAAGAAATGGTAAGATTCAATTCACTGTTATAAATATTTACATATAACACTTTTGTTAATCAAATAAAAAATAATTCCTCATCCACAATCTGTTCAGACCATCTACAATCCAGATACAATCTTAACAACAACAACAACAACAAAATTTTATTATCATATTCTAACTTCTTCCCTTTCAATGAACATACGAACCAATTTTCTTCAGCCAAGTAAAAAAGACCTTATGCTATAGAATGGTGTTTTCTGAGTTAAAAGCAATTAAATTAAAATCAAAATTTGGAAAGAGATAACAATTGTGTCAACCAGGACACCAGTCTAAGGGGACAGACTAGCTCCAGCATTAGGTCAAACAGGGTGACAATCAGAATGGAGAATTCAGAGTCCCAGCTCCTCCTTCTAAACCTAAGTTCTTTCCTCATTTGGACCACTGGGATATGTTTTTAGAAGAAAAGAACAGTGTAATTGCTCAATGAAAGTTTAAAATGCCTTTCTAAGCCTTCTATGAATTATTCACCATTTTAGATTAGATGCCCACTGTATTCATTCTTAGACTAGACTATAATATTCAACAATATTCATGTGCAAAGTCATGAATACATATGAACTTTTCCATGCTTGAAAGTTACTTAACAAAAGTATGACATGTGGGGCTGGGGTTGTAGCTCAGAGGTAGAGTGCTTGCCCAGCATGTGTGGAGCACTGGGTTTGATCCTCAGCACCACATAAAAATAAATAAATAAAATAAAGGTCTATAGACAACTAAAACAAATTTTTTAAAGTATCACATGTGAAGTAATATGATGACTAGAATTTGATGCTTTTTATTTAGAAAGCAAGAACTTTAATCCTATGTTAGTCATTTGGTAACTCTGTAATCTCCAACAAGTTACTTAATTATAACACTTGATTCTTTATCTGAAATTGGAAAAGTAATAGAAGCTATATCAGAGATGCTGTGAGAACTAAAATGTAATATGAAGTGAAATATGTTTAACAAAATTCTTGACATGTAATAAGTACTCAAAAGAAGTAGCAGTAGTTTTCACTTTCACTAATGATTACTTTGATGATGGTGGTGGTATTTGGAGACATGATTTAAAACATAATTTACTCGGGTAAATCTGCTTACCACTGGGTTTTAAACAGTCCTCAATTTCCATAACTAATATCAAAGATAAGGCAAAACATAGCAGTATCTCAGTGTCTAAACATATCTTGTAAGTAGCTAGTACAATGCATATAAGACATTTGAGATCTATATTACCTGATCAAGCACTGTGTATGGATTTTCAGCATTAAAGCCAAGAGGGGCGTAGCTTTGGAATCTCTCTCTGAACTCTGCCTGCTTTTCCTGATCAGAACCAAAAACAACAACAACAAAAGTGATTCTCAAGTAGCTTCAATTATCCTAGGAAAGTCTTTCTTAGAAAACAAGCAAACAAAACTTTGGTAATTATCTTACATCAAACAAAATACATTTCTTCCGTATCAGAGTGACCTCTGCATTTTGGAGAGGTGAGACTTCATGTCTGACTGTTGCTGCGATCTTTTTGGTTATTTGCCATCTTTCAGGTAATTCCTACAAAAACAAAGGTGTGGAAGGGGAATTTACTTCAATTCCTAAAAACAATTTAACCCTATAGGATTAAGTAATTTTAATTTTTTTACTCTAACCCAGGAAATCTTTTCATTCTTTCATATAGGGTTTACAAGAAAAAAAAAGTAAAGAAAAAGAAAAGAAAAAAATAAAGAGAAAGAAAGTGACTAAAAGCCCCAGAGCCAGGGATGAAGTGCAGGCTGATCCACTGCCATGTCTGGGTTTGTATCTTCCAAGCATGTGCCAGAGTTGTTCTCATCTCAGAATCAGTGGAAATCTTTTCAAAATAAAGACAAATCCTCAAATTGTTTTGCTGTTATGGGAATAAAATCAAAGTGCTCTGGAAATTACTTTGCTAATCTCTAACAACTAGAAATGGAAGCCAGCCACATTTAGCAATTTAGCAAATAAAAAAGATGCTTTCAATCTGGTGGGGCAAAGATGGCAATGTGAATTAATGTCAGCCTCCACTTTCCTCTGCCTCCCAAGGCTCTGCAAGTACTCTTTTCTTGAGGAAGAGTTTTACTGTTGAAGTTGGTTTACTTTCAATGACTAGGATTTTTGAAGGAGAAGAGACAAAAAGGAAGGTCCATTCCTATTTAATTTTGAACAAAAGCAATAAATAGATACCAGCTCAACTCGGCTCTCCTTGCCTATAATGCAAATAGGTCAAAAACAAGTTATTTTCTTTAAAGAGCCGGGTGCATAATTACCACTGAAAAGCATTCCTTGTGTCTAGACTAACAAAGTATTGTTTCTCTGGGTCATCTCCCAGGACAATGAACTGGTTTGGTCATAGAAAAACAAAGTTATGGATGTGTCCCATAGTGATGGGGTGAGGGGTCAACAACTACTTCTTTCCCTGAACTGCAAAACTCAAAGGTCCTACAGACTATTTTGTAATCTCCAATAAATATTGGATGAATGATTCAGTAACTGCCACTTATGAAGAGTGCACTAAGTATAAATAGTTTTGTGTTGTGGAGAGGGTGCTTCAAAAGAAAAATACATTCTTTGACTTAAACTGTTACATAATCTGAGCAAGACACACACACAATAACTATTCTACAGTGCAGAATACGTTAACGTCCACTAGGAGACCAACAGGTCATGGCATCAGTACAATTAGGAGACAATATGGTGCCATGACAGGAATACCAAACTAACTCAAGAGACCAGCACTGAAGCCATTGCCTTTTCACCTTGTGCTTCCTCTCAGCAAACCCTGCATCCTCAGCTATGCAGACTCCCACTTTCCATTTCCAAGTCAACTCCATGGAACCTAAATATCCTGTGGAGTCCCTTCAGAAGCCTTGGCTAAGAAGTGAAGGAGAAGTCACATCAGGAGGCTCAGGACCCTTAGCCTTCCTCTAACACAGCAGATTTGCTTTACGTTTGGGGATTCCAAAGTAGATTTCACCTCATGGAAATAAATTTTCTTAAAAATTAAAAAATTAGATATCTCCGAAGTCTAACTTATAACGATCCAATCAAGGAGGTGATGTTGAATCTGAGCCTCAAAGAAATAACTGATTTAAAGAGGCAGAGATTACGTGAGATCTTTGAGGTACAAAACAGGATGGAGATAAAGTGGGCTCTTGTGGAAGCAGGAGGACTCAGAGGCCAGGACAGTGGCTTAAGAAGCAACGAGAACTGAATTAAAATGGGAATCACAGGAATGGAAAAGGGGCAACAGACTGAAAAGAGGCTGCGCCCACAGACCACATGATTGGGGGTAAATGTTCATTTTTTAAAAATTTGTATATGACAGTGGAATGCTTTACAATTCTCATTGCACATACAGAGCACAATTTTTCATATCTCTGGTTGTATACAAAGCATATTCACACAAATTAGTGTCTTCATACATGTACTTTGGATAATGATGTTCATCACATTCCACTACCATTTCTAACCCCATGACCCCTCCCTTCCCCTCCAACCTCTCTATCCTATCTAGAGTTTATCTATTCCTCTCATGTTCCCCTTCCCTACCCTACTATGAATCAGCCTCCTTATCAGAAAACTAAATGTTCATTCTTGACTTTGAGGAGATAATGTTTAAATTTCACATCTAAGGGCTTTTTTCTTTAAAGCACAGAATTATGCATAGATAAGCCTTTTAAAAAAATGCAATGATACCAATGATAATGATGGAGAAACAAAATAACTGTTACAAATTGCTTTAACTAAAGTAAAATTGGGGCCCTGTTACTCTCCATATGCAACTTTAATCTCATTATTCTTCCTCACCAGCCTACATTACTTGCATGTGGCTATACTTATACCTTGAAGTGTCCTGCTTTCTAAATACTGAAAAGTCTAATATGTTTAATACTACCAGAACCTAGAGAAGTGAGCCAAATTTTACTGGAGGCCATGGCTAAAATCCCTTACTTCCATGACTTATTTTATGACTGGCTTCTGTATGAATTATCTCAAGGTCCAAGACATGACTCAAAGAATATCCAAATCTTTCTTCAAAGAAGAAATATTTATAGTTGGTGCTACTCTGTCATCTCTCAGTCATGTGAAGTATCTACCTGTCCACAACTTCTCCTCTCACTCCATGTCATAACAGGACTATCTGCACCAAGGATAGTTTTATGCTCGAGTAGAATTTAATAATTCATACATAGTAATTTTCTATAGTCAAGAGAACACTTATAAATATACTGTTGCATTTAATCCTCACAACACAGAATGAGGGATATGAAACAGCCCAGCCGCTGTGAAAATCAGTTTGGCAGTTCCTCAAAAAGTTAAACCACCATATGACCCAGCAATTCCGTTCTGAAGTATACATCAAAAAGAATTGAAAACAGGTACTCAAGCAAACACTTAAGCACCAATGTTCAGAGCAGCATTTTTTACAATTGCAAAAAGATGGAAACAACCCAAATGTCCATCAACAGATAATTGGGTATGTTAACTGAATTATAAGCAAACAATAGAATATCATCCAGCTATAAAAAGGAATGAATATCAGTATGTGCTACAAGGTAAAACATTACATCAGGAAAAAGAAGCAAACACAATAGATCGTGTGTTATATAATTCAATTTGTCGCAAATATCCAGAGTAAGTAAACCCATGGACACAGAACAAGACTGGCCAAGGGAAGAGGAGGGGAATAGGGAGCAACAACTAATGGATACTGACTGACAACTAACGGATACAGAGTGACAACTAATGGATACATAGTTTCTTTTTGGGGTGAAAAAAATATTTTGTAACTAGATACAAGTAGTGGTTGTACAACATTACCAACATACTAAATGCCACTGGTTGTATACTTTAACATGTTGCTCTTATGTGGATTTCATCTCAATAAAAAACAAAACAGAAAGTGGGAAATTAGTATAGTATAGACAAACCAAAACATTTAACGAATCACAAGGAATAGTCTACTAAATAGGAAGCATGCTCTATGATATTAACTGCTGTGTCCAGGCAAGCCGGTGAGATGGACTTATACGTACTTACAAATTTCAATCTTATTTTGTGCTCTGATAACTAAATAGGCTGAGCTAGAATCCAATGAAAGCTTTCTAGTTTATGTGTCCACTTGATCACATTTGCGAGGTTAAATGTAAGCCCAGCCTGGAAGTCCCCTCCACCCCCACCATCCACAGAACTTCAATGTGGGCAGGAGAACAGAGCCTCAATTGTGAGATTTTTGTTCACGATTTCAATTATAATTAAAAAGACTTTGTTCATCATTTGGCACACAGAAGCCACTGAATCTTTCCAGAGCACAGAAAATACGAGGATAGCATAGAAATCTGTCTGGGAAACAATGATTTCTCCATCCAAACCAGGCTTTATTTATTTATTTATTCTTTACTAGCACGTCCACGAAATGTTTCCAGGCCTAGAACACTTCTGAGCCGACAGGCAGTTTTGAATGAGGAAGACTGTGGGTCTATTTCACATGTATGAATCATGGTGAACCTGGGACTCCCAAGAGCAACTGAGAGGCTCTCTCCAACCCAAATGCTTTCCATCAGTGAGGCACAGGGACACAGTGAGTCTTCTGTCTTGAAACATCTATAGCTAAGTGCTGGATGGCTTCACTGCCTATGTGACCTTCAAAAAGTTCATGTCTTAGCTTCAGATTTCTAACATAAAATAAACCACCACCTAAAAAAATAATAGTATGGACTGTTACAAGGATGTCACAAGGTGCACGTGAATCACTGGTCACAAGAGATGCTACATGTAGGTACCTGTGAGTATTTAGCCTCCACACTCACCTCCAGCTGAACATAGACTTGTTCTGGCATCTTCTGGCCATAGCTTTCCAGGAGTGTAATGGTTTCTTTCAGAGGTTCGAAGAGTTCATCAGTGGCTCTCTGCCGGCTTCTTACAGCCAGAAGGTGGCCCATGATGTCAACTAACCCCTCGTGATCACCTTCACTCAGTTGTCTCTGAAGTCCGCCATCTGTCACCTTCATGAATCCTTGCAGCTCATTCAGACTATTAAATACATACACAAAAATTCATTAAAACATTTAGCAGCATAAGACTTTTAATTGGATCTTATTTTCATTGTGCACCTGATTAAACATTACTCATTATTTCTATTATGAGATCAGCAGTATCAATGGTCTTAAAAATCAATCTCAATTAGAAAGCAGTCAACCAAGAAAAAAAATTGGTATAACTTCGACTATCAAAATATAAAGGCTACCTGTCAATGACAAATCTCAAAAGATGCTCCTGAAACATCCAGCTCCACTTCTTAATCACATTTAGTAAGCTCACTTTGAAAGGTCTCATGTCCACCTTGAACCAACTATTAAACACTCTGAAGTCATCAAACTTGCTCATCTGAACATACAAAGCTTCATAAATATCAATCTACAGATAAGAAAAAACAAAATAACTACAACAGCTCCATTAGAAAGCCAATTAACTACAACATAAGTTAGGGAGTTTTCCTTGCCTGTTCTTTGAATTGTTCAAGAGTTGGTGGTTGTTCGGGGATTTCTTCATTGGCATGAGCATCCATTTCCTCGGATACTGCAGTATGACCATACTGGAGAAAATGCTTCATAAATTCAGCTCGGTCATCCACCCAGAGGTATGCATAGGTCTCCAGGGAGTTTCTGAAATCCAAGACTTTGCTGATGACGTCTGCCACTCTATTCATTATCTCCCGCCTGACCTCTGCCAGGCCTAACATATTATCCATGTCATTCTAAAGGAGAAGAAAAACCAAGCAGAGAGTCAAGTGAACCTTGATGCCAATTATGTGCAATACAACATAGCAGAGGTCATTTTTCAAAGGGAGAGTAGATTTCAATCTAAAAAATTAAGCAAGTTTTACCAACTTCTTTCCTTGTGATTCCCACTACCCTAGTTTATTTCTGAATTAATGGAAAAAGCTAATACCCACTTTCAAATACCTGATAATTGGTGATTTCCAGATGTGCTGCTACTCGCTCCATCTGGGCAGACATTCTAAAACTGTTGCACAGCATTTCTTCTACGAGATCATAGAAGCCATCCCCAGCCTCTCTCTCCAAAGAAGGTTTAAACACAATCTCAGGGGGTGTTAAGATCATTTGTACTTGGAAAAACGGTGCAGGTTTTGGTTGTTTCTCGGTATTTGTCAGAAAGAAGTCTAAGTCACACATTATTGCCTGGAAAAAGCCTTCCACCACCATGTCATCGATGAATTCTACATAGATTTTCCAGGTATCCAGAGAAGGATCAACTTTGAAGAGCTTCCTGTTTTCCTAGCAACAGACAAGCATTAATAGATGACTATTAACAGTAATGAAAATAAAGATAAAAGCTTTCTGTTTAAGTGGCTTTTTAAGGAAAGGAGTGCATTTCACAGGAAAATCCAAACACTGGGTTGCAGACGTTAAGCCAGACGGCAAAGACCTGAGCAGGATTTTATGACACTGAGTTCAAGTACTATGTACATTCAAAAGTCATTCTTTAAAGAAAAAAAAAATCAATGTGAAGATTGCTATCTTCAGATACAGACAGGAAACACACAAGTTTCCCAGTGAATGCTACAAGTATTAGATCTGGGCTCTAGTTCCCACTGTGTCCTAATTCAACATGGGCCTGGACGTGGCCTTGCCTGAAAGGAAATGGTTTCTCATACTGGTCCCTCTAAGAAGGCTGTTCTGGGATATCTGAAGATAAGTCAGGGAAGGGCTGAGTCCATTCTTTTTATTTTTCTTTAATATCTTTGTTTATTTATTTATTTTTTATGTGGTGCTGGGGATTGAACCCAGTGCCTCATGCATGTGAGGCAAGTGCTCAACCACTGAGCTATAGCCCCAGCCCTGAGCCTATACTTGAAGACTCCCAGCATCCCTATTATTTGAAGTCCATGGAATTTGGTTTAGTGCAATCATTGCCAAACTTTATTCAGACACACAGACTGTGTCCTTTCTTCTTCTTCTTCTTCTTTCTTTTTTTCAAAGTATCTATGTGCAACTCAGCTTGGGAAATGCTGGACTGGAAAGTCTCAGCTCCTTGTGGGCTTCCAAAATGTGGCCTTGTTTCACCCCTGCATTTCCAGAGAGTGTGGGCAAAATAATGGATGGGCCAGTGAAGCAAAATAGGACCAGAAGACAGAGAGGTAGCTAAGGACAGCTGCAATTGGGCATATCATGAGCTAGGCCTAGAGGCAACCATGTGAAAAGGTCAGGTGGGTGATAAGGCTGATTCCAGAGAAACTATCTTCGTGGCAAAGTCTGCCTAGTTTACACAGGACAGACAGCAGTTGCCAAGGCAGAAACTGGAGCACAGAGAAAAAAAAGGATACTGGAACAAGAGCTGATTGTGAGGTAAACTATACTCTCTGCCATCTTTGATCATCTTTATTGTGGCTACATGACCCAGGATATAAGGTGTATGCTCTGTGCAAGAATCACAATGACAGAGGTGAATCCAATTCCTGATAAGGCAGGGCAGGAAAGAGAATCCTAGGGGTATGTTGTTCCGAATTTAAGATCTACTACCCTTGATGCTGTATAGTCTATGTGACCCACACTCCTGCAGTTGCACAGTACACATCTTGAGAAGCTATACACAGCAGCCCAGTTCCTTAGTAGGCAGTAGAAAGAAAAAGCATAGATCTTAGAGCAAAAGATAAAAAACAATCCCTCAAAAGCACCATGTTCAGTCTCACTCATTCTGAAGATAGGCAAACAAAGATCTATCACACACTATCACTCTGGTAGAAAAGAAGTTAGCAGCTGAGCTAGGACTAGAAACCAGTCCTCTTGTGTCCCCCAGGGTAGGCCTCTTGTGACACATCACATATGCTTTCTCATACCTAGAGAGATGGTTCACATCACTGGTGGCATTTACAGGAAATGTATTTTCACATATTAGGGTAAAGGGAAAAGAAAGAAGAAAGAGGAAAGTCACCAAATGGTCACTTAGATCCCTTCCAGACCACTCTTCCAAGATTCTGCCCTTTCTTTTCTCTCTGCACCTGGAAAGATTTTGTCATTCTCCAAATGAAATCAGGGACATCACACAAGCCAGAGGATATAGCACAAAGAGTCTGAGCCAGCCACCTCCGCACTGTCCTGTTTCCCAGCCCCAGTCCTCACCAGCACCCCAGAACTGGCTTCAGTCACATGCTGACAAGCCAAAGGTTCAGGGTGGGGCCTCTCGAAGGACACAATGTATGGGAACAAACATTAAACTTCTGTAGGAAGTTGGCTTATATTCCCCCAAATGATAAGCTCTCCCTCGTTCTGTGAATGGAGATGGTGATTTCAAAGCTGCTTGGTTTTTGACTTAAAGAAAAAGGAGAACCCATTTATTAGTTTCTAAATTCCAACTTTATTCTCTGAACAGGCTCCACAAAACCTTGTCTTACGTTTCCAGTCATGTCTTGTGTGGGCCATACTTTCAATGCATTTAAATGGAGATTAATAAATCTGAATGGTTTAAAACCCCTACACTACAGTTAGGGGAGTACTTTAAAACAATTATTATATAGAATATGTACCAGAAATTGTAATCCATTATCTGTCCTCCATGAGACAAATTCTCGTGCATAAACAGTTTATAGGACTGACCTAAAAATCACATAATGATTCATAGCAACCCAAGGAATGACTGGAATACTCAATGGCAGGGCTTAATTATGACACTGCTGAGAAAAAAAATTTTTTTCCAGATATATACCTTCTTTACATGTGAGGACACCCCATAATCCTCTGATTGGCCACTCAGGCCTTGGAGTACCAGAGGGAATGGGGCCTTACCTACTCTTTGATTGTAAACTTCCAGTCCCCAGATTATGATGGAATAAATTTCTGTCATTTTAAAAGCCCCATTTGTGTTGCTTTGTTTTAGCAGCTGCAGGATGCTAATACAGACTGTGATCAGAGATGGCAGAGACAAAGTCTGTCCTGGCAAGCTGTCAAGAGTGTGAACAATCACAACTTAGATGTTTCAGACAAACTTGGAATTTGATACATATATGCACCATAGACATCAAGTGTACCACATCGTACTGTGTGGTAAGAAAATCTACAAAATGCTTCTTTCACTTAGCTTCCTGGATGCCACCCTCCTGGTTTTCCTCTGCTGTGTGTCCCACTGCCCCTTTCCTGCACTTCTGGCAGCCCCTAATCCAGTCTCTCAAAGGGAGAACAGTGCCCTGGCCAACTGTCCTCCATTTTCTTCCATTGCTTAGCTGTGCTCATGTTCTCAGTGACCTCTTCTACTGGCTTAACTCTCATGGCCAGCCACTTCTCTTTCATTTGTATTTCCAGAGTGGACCTCTACCCCCAACTCCAGCCTCGTAAATCTAATTACATGACCAGCTCTTCTGCTTGATGGAGGGGCACCCCAAACTCGTATGTAAAACTGAAATCCTGATCTCCCTACCCAGCTCCTCTCATAGCTTTTCCTCTCTGAATACACTGCAACTTCCTCTTGATCAGAAATGAAGCCTTCGATGTCTCTTTCTTTACCTCCCACTTCCATCTTGTTAGGATATTGTTCCACTTCATACAAAATATCTCCAGAATTCAGCTGCTTCTCACATTTCCACTGCTACTACCTGGTCCAGGCACTGTCATCTGTTACGATGGGTATGAATGTTGTGTCCTCCCAAATTCATGTGCTGAAATCCTAGACCCCAAGGTGGTGGAAATAGGAGATGGGACTGGGAAAGTGATTAGGTCACAAGGGCAGAGCCTTCATAAAAAGGACTAGTGCTTTTATAAGACAGGCCAGAGGGAGCTTGTTTGACTCTTTCACCTTGGGGTCACAGTGAGAAGATGGCAGTTTACATTCTGGAGGGGGGCTCTCCCCAGAAGCTGACCAGGCTGACACCTGGATCTCCAGAACTGGGAGAAATAAACATCTATTGTTTTCAAGCTGCCCAGTTTAAGGTCTTTTGTTATAGCAGCTCAGTTACACTAGGATAGCTAAATTATAGCTAGAGCAACCTACCAGGTCTCACCATTTCTTCCCTCACCTCCCTACAGTCTCAACATAACAACCAGAAAGCCTGTGGAAACCAAAGTCACGTTGTATTTACTCCTCTTCTGAAATGTATCAGGGACACTCTGTGGACTGCAGGATAAAGACCAGATTCTGCCTTACCTGATCACCCTCTACTTTGCTCCCTCTGTTCCCACTACTCTCACCTCCCTGGTCTACCTTCAGCCTGGCCAAGGAGCTCCTGCCAAGCAGCCATCGCCTTTGCCTTAACACTCTGCTCAAATGCTCACCTGGCTGACTTGACAGCCTTCAAGTCTTTGTCAAAGCCTTACCTTCTCGTGGCAGTCTACCCTGATCCTGTTTAAAATGCACCCTCGACTCCACACTCCAGAATTCCCTCGCCCTGCTTATCTTTTAATCTACAGCACTTGCTGCTTCTCAACATCTCTCATCTTTTCTAATCTGAATTCCATTCTCTCTCTTCCATCACTAGACTTTCATCTCCATGAAAGCAAGGATCTTTGTCAGTTCTGTTCACTGATATATCTCAGAAACCAAGAATGTTGCTGAGTACACAGGAGGCGCACAGCAAATATGTCTTGAATGCATGAATGACAGGCTGATAAAGATGTGTTAGATGATGGATGGGTCACACAATTTCCAGGAGGGACACTATAATCCATTGTTCTCCAGCTGAGAGGTAGCCTAGAGACAAGGACCTTCACTTCTTACATGGAAAAATTTAAGCCCTGTTTCTAGAAGACACAAGACTGAAAACTCTGGCTTCCAGCTTTTGGAAGGGCACTTTCATCACACTGATGGCTACAGGATAGAGAAGCCAAGGGAAAAGGTTCACCTGCTCTGCTCAAGGACAATAACTGTTTTTAAGGACTATACCTATTTAGATTCTATATAACAAGATGCTTGGGAGAAATAAAGAATACACTTATTTTTGTCCCTTTTTCTTAAGAAATAAGAACAGTAAGAATTCAACTTACCCACATTCCCATTTCCAGCTCTGCCCACCTATAAGACATGTACCTATTGAATACCTGACTACAAATAAATGCTCCATTCTTCTACCTAAAGCCAACATCTATATGTATTTGTTAGATTACATTCCCACAATGATGTACCAAGAATGTTTTGATTCATCCCAATTGACATAGGAACATCAGCCAATATTAAAAACGAAATTCTAACCCTGACATACATGTCCTAGGTACCACCCAGTTTTTAGTATGCCCCACAACAATCTGTTAAGAGTTCACTGGATGTGTTTATTCCCATTTCTCCCATTCCCTCCTTAGTCTACTCCAGTCAGGCTTCCACCCTGCCACTCCACCAAGTCAAGGTCATCAGTAACTTCCAATCTGTCCCATCTGACACTCAACCTCTGCCCTAGTTTTGGATCCTAAGCTGGGATGGGACAGAGCTGAACTCTTCCCCTTCCAAATGTAATTTCCAGGCTACCATTCTATTTTTGGAAGGATCTTCCTCATCTTTCTGACCTCAGAGAGTCTGTTAAGGCTAGCCCTTGGACCTCTACTCCATTGACAATCTCCTGGGTAACCTCATCTAACTCCATGTCTTAAATATCATATATATGCTCACAATTCTTAATTCTGGGTTATTCATCTAGGCTCGGTCCTTGAACACAACATACATTGGCAATATCAGCCAACTCAAAATCTCTGCTGGGGCAAACATCTCTGACCTATCCAAAGCCCAGTCCTGTTTCTTCCTACAAAACATGTTCCACCAGTCTTCCCCATATCATCACGAGAAAGTTCATTTGCCCAGCTGCTCAGACTAAAAACACTGAAGTCATCCTTGATCTCTCTCTTCTCCTACTCAATGACTCATCCTTGATTTCTCTTTTCTCCCACCCTGATCCAAAGTATCTTATTCCCCACCTGGATTATAAGAGTAAGCTCCTAATAGTCTGTCTACACTTCCTTGCTCACCTTTGGCTTACAGACAACAGACAAAGCCTCTGAGCAAGAAAATCTGGCAGCTGTTTCTAGACTAAAATCCAAAATCCTCAGAATGGCCTGCCACACACTTGGTATGCTCTTAGCTCCGTGAAATGTCATCCCCTACTACCATTCCCACCCCCCCCAACCCCGCCCCTGACACACACACACATTCTGCTTTGGTCATGCTGGCTCTCAAACTGATCCTTGGACTGGATAGCCTGCTCCATCTAAAAGGTTCCTGCACTTTCACTTCTAGAACCCCGTTTTCCTGATACCCAATGCACTTCACCCCTTTTTGGTTTTCTGCAGCCCATCATTTATTTCTGCTTTATTTTTCATCACTGTTCCTGTTACAACTGACATGTTTATTATGCACTTGTTATTTTCTCTTGCTATCTTCCCAACTAGAGTGTAAATTCCATGAGACAGGGGCTGGGTTTTGTTTGTTACTGTGCCCCCACTCCCTATCTTATTTTGGTAAAATAGTGCCTGTTACACACCTGTAATCCCAGCAGCTTGGGAGGCGGAGGCAGGAGGATTGTGAGTTTAAAGGAAGCCTCAGCAATTTAGTGAGGCCCTAGTCAACTTAGTGAGACCCTGTTTTAAAATAAAATATAAAAAGGGCTGGGAATGTGGCTCAGTGGTTAATTGTTCCTGGGTTCAATCCCCAATACCAAAAAGAAAAATAGCATCTGTTACTATTTTAAAACTCAAATGTCTGTTAAAAGGACAGTAATTCTGCTGCCTTTGTTAGACGGCTCAGAGGGTTACAGGAGATGATATAAACAAGGTGTCTGACACCTAAGAGGTGTTCCACACTGGTGGCAACTATTAATAGCAACCAGGAATGTAGGTGCAATCCTGTCAAAGATAAGGATTCCGCCTCCAACCTTTCTGTTTGATCAACACATCTCACATTCTAATCTCTTCCCTCAGGAATATGAGTAGTGAGGACTACAGAAATCACAGACAAGCCGCACAAATTCTTTCACTGTAACTGCTTCACATGGCCATTCATAAAGTTCCTTCAGGCTCAATAAAAGCATCCTACACAGGGCCTGTTGGCACACATTTGTAATCCTAGCAAGTCTGAAGGCTGAGGCAGGAGGACTGCAATTTAGTAAGACTCTGTCTCAAAATTGAAAAAAGGGCTAGGGATGTAGCTCAATGGTAAAATGCCCTGGATTCAATCCCCAATATCAGAGAAAAAAAAAGGAAAAAGAAGTCTATATTATCAGGTTAAGTATATTTGTTCTTCTCTAAAGTAATTGAATAAAAAATCAGTAACTTTTGAAATTTTCAAAGCAATTACCTCTACCAAGTTGTGTATCTTGCAGCCATCTTCTTGGATTAACTTGTATTTTTTAGCAAACAGATCGCCCTTGTCCTCCAAAGTCAAGGCAGCCTCTTTTCTGTGCTCCCTCCTGGGCAGCAGTGGACACTCAGCCCAGGCCCTCATCATCTGCTGTATCACCTGCAGGTTGTTCTGTGTGTGTTCAACCCTGCGCTCCAGCTCCGCAGTGGATGCCTGCACCTTCTCCACGTAGCCCCAGCAGTCATGCTGCCATGTCAGCCACGTCACGGCTGCCTCCAGTTGCTCATCAATAGCCCCCAGCTCTTCTTCAATCAGAGGGTACTCAACTTCTAGAAGAGTCTGCTTCAGCTTATTATACCCTTGTACAAGAAGTTCAAGGTTTCCAATGTACTGAGCAAAGAATACCCAAAACAAAAAAGGTCAAATATGTTCACTCTTTTCTCTCCTTGAAGCATCAAAATGTCTTAGGTCTACATGCTAATAATTAAAATTACTTTCAATAAAAAAAAAATGCTCTATTCCCCCCAACACACAAACCTTTAAAATAGTGTTCCTTTTTTGGAAGATGGCAAGCGCTGAATATGGTATGTCCGATTTTTTCATCATCAAAAGGTATTTCACCTCTCTCAACACAGCTACCAGCTATTCAAACAGCAGCAAGAATTATTGCATATTTTAAAAATATCATTCTATTTCAACACAAGTTTGACTTGAAATACTTATAATTTCATCCAATGGTTACTACATTTCCAAATCATCAAGATTGACTTTTGTTTCATGTTTTTTTAAAACCAAAATATCATGCATTCCATAACCTAATAGAGGTTTACAGTCTCTACCGTGTATATAACACATACCAGTTTTTTTTTTTTTTAAGTTAGTTAAAACTTCATCATGAGAGTTAAGATATTCGGGGAATCCACATGCCATACGAAATGGCCTGTCATGCTTTTGGTGGACAGTAGCATATTTTGTCATAATTTCTTTCAGAGAGAAAATATTCTGTATATTTTGAGTAAGTCTATGGTAATTCACACTATCTCTAAAACACTTCAAGAAACCTGTCTCTGTAAGCTATTTTATGAAATCTCAAAGTAGAAATAATCCTCTGTCCTCTAGATCAAATACTGAGTTCTGAGTTTCATTCGTAAAATAAAAGTAATGCTACTTTAAAAAATTTATTTGTTCTTTTCAGTTATCATGACAGTAGGATGTATTTTGACATATCATACGTAATGTACAACCACAAGAATGTTTTCATATGTGAACATAGGAAAGTTATGTCCAATTCATTCTGTCTTTCCTATTCCTCTCCACACTTCTTTCCTTCATTCCCCTGTGTCTAAATCCAATGAACTTCTCTGCATTGTGTGTTAGTAGCCACATATCAGTTCATTCAGCCTTTGGAAAATAATACTATTCTTTGCATATATTTTAGAGAAACAAAGCATAACTAACATGGAGTATGTAAGACTAACTCTCCCACCCCCTTGGCATGGCTTTGGGCTGAAGCAATGATTTTTTTTTTTTTTTTTTTTTTTTTTTTTTGGTGGAAGATTCTGGGCTCCAGCAGAGCCTTCTTTATTTTGTTTATTTATTTTCATGTGGTGCTGAGGATCGAACCCAGTGCCTCACATGTGCAGGGCAAGAACTCTGCCACTGAGCCCCAGCTCCAGCCCACAATGATCTTTACTACCTAAAAATTCAGCCAGATGTTGTTTTTGATCATGAAAACTTAAAATAACTTTGCCCTTTATTGTAAAGCACATCTATGGGAACTCAATAGAAAAGAAAGCTTATTTTATGCCCCTAATCTAGCAAGCTGAAAGAGTTGGAGATGTTTAAAATATACACACATCGAATATTATCTATATATACCATATATATGTACATACACGTACCATATATATGTACATACACGTACCATATAATTTAAGTACACATGTGCATATCACCATGATCACTAATAATGTTTCTATACGCAATATTATTACATAACATGTAATGAATGAGAAATTTATTGACAAAATGTATTGAGAAAATTGACAAAATGTGAAATTTCCCTTTGTGACATGATGTATCATGTCATAACAAAAGATCTGTTTAATAAAGGCAATCTTCATCCTGGATATTTATTTAACTGTTAGTATTATTTTTATATTATTTGTTTTATTAAAATCATCATGAGTTTAACCACCATACACAAGCTTATTTTTTATTTTAAAGAAACTATGACAAATAGAAATTTACCACTATCTACCAAAAACACGACTGATTTTTATTCCATGTAGTCAGTCCCCAAATCTTATGATACAGCTTCAATGAACCAAAAAAACTAGTATTTGTTATAAAAATATTTAAGCCAGAAACCATCTGGCAAAAACTAATGATTCAGTTCAGCCGAGCTAACATTTAGTAAGTGTTACCAAGTGCCAGACACGAAACTAGAGACACAAAGTGAAATGAAGCCCACCCTCAAGAAAGAATGGGGAGGCCAAGAAATAATTATAAGAAAAATAACAAAGAATAATTAATTAATTAAGACTTAGAAAACATCTTTAAGGCAAGCAAGACTTACTGGAAGTTGTTTATAATTATATTCCTCACAGCTCTTGACATTTTCCCAAAATAAAGTATGAATGATTGGAAATGTAAGTCTATCGGGAAATATTTCAGAGATTTACTAAGGATAAGAATAGCACCTATAAAACATCTTAGGAAACCAAACCCCTACCTTTGGGTCAAAGTTGACACTAAGAAGACCATTTATGGCACTGAATTTAACCAAGGGTTGATTCAAATTGAATTCACAGATTTCATCCACATTAGCTTTCCATTTATTATAGATATGATTTTCAAATTGGTCTAGTAAAGTGGTCATTTCGACATACTTCTGATAAACTGCAGCTTCATCAGGATTGTCCGAGAATCTGTAGGAATAAGGTTTTTCTACTTTTCTATATACTGATTTCTGCTTATTTTACAATAATATACATAGTGATGTTATACATCATAAACAGCCAGGGAGAGAAAAAATAAATACCAAAAAAAAAATGCTTTGGAATTGTTTTTGCTTTAAAATATATAGTTATAAATGAATGGAACGCCAAAGCTTTTACTAAATATCAACAGCAACAAGTTGAGAGAAATGCATAATTAGAGGTGTGTTTGTTCCTGGAGAAAGAAAAAATAATAGCAAAGAATCATAACCACAGAGGAAAGAAAGTGTAAAGAAAAAAGGACCTGGAAACATGTAAACATATGTACTATGAGTCCCATCAAAAATATTACAACCATGGAGATGAAGTGCCCTCAACAAACCAGTGAAGAAAATTAAATGAGACCATGACCTCTTGAGTGCTAATAGGAACAGATTGTTACCCTCTATAAAAAACCACCCGTAACCTTAGGATAATTTACCATGACATAGGCCTCAGTACTTACAGATAATGGAGAGACGAAAAGTTTGACCAAAACATTTGAAGACGATCAAGGATCTCTCTGGCCCATTTGATATTTCCAGAAGTAAATGGCATATTCTTGTTAAGAACTACACAACCATGTTCAATCTGCAAGTTGATATTTTGGTGAGGAGGAAGAGAAGGAACATTTAGTTAGGATGCCTGTAAGTAACCTTACAACCTTGTAAGTAACTGTTCATTTTGGTAGTTTGGTATAAAACCTATGTGAGTGGCACATGACTGTAATCCTAGCAATGAGGAAGGCTGAGGCAGGAGGATTGCAAGTTCCAAGGCCAGCCTCAGAAACTTTGCAAAATCCTGTCTCAAAAAATAGAAAAGAGCTGGTCAGTCCCTGTTTCTTTCCTCTTTCACTTCGCTTCTCTGCTTGCTAACAGTTTCTACTCACTTGTAACTTTAGCCAGCATGGATTCAGTGCCTTTGGGTTCAATCCCTAGTATTACAAAAAATAAAAAATAAAGTGTTTCATATCTTGATTAGAAGAATTATGGTCCTAAAGCAAGTTCTCCATCTCCATAAGAAACCAGTTAAATAAAAGTTTTTTAAAAATTTTAGTGTCTATATCTAATCTTTAGATATAATGAAATATAGATCTAGGCCATTACCTACAAAAATGATACTGTGAATATGATCAACCTCAGCACCACTTACCTGTTCCATGTGTTCATTATATAACTGCTTACACATATCCAACTCTGTATTCAACATGTTCATGAGTGTGCTGTAATGTGGGCTGAAAATTTCCATGACAACTGGTTTCTCTAGAAAATTCCCAAATATAGTCAAAAGCTAGAAAAATCAAAGTTAAAGAAAGGTTAAGAACTGTGAGTTTTTAATACAAATATTCAGCTCAATTTCCCCCACTAAACCTTTGCTATGACGAAATAGAAGAAAGACCTAGAATCCTGCATTGCCTCAATATGTTGTTTCTAAATGGCATTACATTCAACAAATCAAATTCTATATGTAATTTTTCTCTCTCACTGGAAACTGAGAGGGGTCAGAAATAGCCCATCTGTAAGAAGTTCCTGCTCATAGCTAATACTACTTCCTATTGGGCATCAGGGAACATTTTTGAAAATACTGTGTATGTAAGAATAGAAGCAAATGTGATAATTATGTTATTTGTTCTTCCCCAACATAGTATTCTTTAGATATAAGAATCCCCATATCCATGAGGACGACTTCCTGATTTCACCACCAGTAATTACACCAAGTGTACCACTTACACCAACTGTTCTTCCCATCACCTTTGTGTACCCACAAGATCTAGCCACCCCTGACAGCAACCTGGGATAGCAGTGGTCATTGGTCCCAAACAACCACTCCACAAGTGGATAACTCCTTTGACATAAATGTCCTGGCTCAAATCAATGCCTTGAGCTAACCAGATTCTCTGTTTATTCAAAGTCAGCACTGAATCCATGCTGGCTAAAGTTACAAGTGAGTAGAAACTATTAGCAAGCAGAGAAGTGAAGTGAAAGGGGACAGAAACAGGGAATGAACAGGATCACATTACCAGCAAAGCAGAAGTGAAGGTCCACAGGTCCTCTTGCTCAATGAACTGCCTGCCCTAGGTTTCAAACTAACATTTACCACTGGCTTCCACAAAGCTATGAAAGCCAAACCTCGGATCCCTTGATCCCATCTTGTTTACTGCTCATGTGGATTTTCGTGTGTATATTTTAAGGAATCAGTGTTTATATCATGCTATGTGCCAGATGCTTGCTATACATTGGGCCCTTAAAAATGCTGTTATGGGCTGGGGATATAGCTCAGTAGGTAGTATGCCTGCCTCTCATGCATAGGCCCTGGGTTCATTCCCCAGCACCATAAGAAAAATTTTAAAATGCTGTTATCACACGTTCCAGATGAGGACACCGAGTTGTGGGTAGGAAGTAACTTGCCCAAATTAAAATTTTGGCATAGTAGAGCTGGGATTTTAAACCAGGCCATGTGATGCCTGGGTATACACTTCAAGGTGTAGTGTCTTATTGGCAGAGGCCACTGAAAACTATATCACAGTAGTTCCCCTTCATCCAGATTTTTCTTTCTACAGTTTAAATTACCAGTGGAAACTGAATATATTAAATGGAAAATTCCAGAAGTGGATATTTAAGTTTTGAAGAACTTTTGTTGTTAGTTATTGTTGTTACTCTTACTATGCCTTATTTATAAACTAAACTTTATCATGAGATGTATGTATAAGAAAAAAAATAGTACATAGAGTTCAATACTCTTCAAGGATTCAGGCATCCCCTTGGGTTCTTGGAACACGTCACTTGTGGAAAAGGGGGCATTTTTTTGTTATCTGGTTACTCCATATGGGCTTTAGCATATGTTATTACCCATCTTATGAAGGTGTTTTAAAAGATGACACCTCAAAAAAACTAAATGTACTTAAGGTGACAGAAAAAGTATATATGAAGTCTTGTGCCTTGTTAGCAAGATGAAAAAAGAGTTTTGTTCTGTTTGGAATATATTAGTTATTTCTCAAAACTTATTATTTTTTTAAATAGCTTCATTATAAAAGCGATGCAAACATTTCCAGAAACTACACTCAATGAAAAAAAAAAAGAAAAAAGAAAAACATCAACATAATGACAAAAGTTATACAAACCAAAATATAAATCTAAATATATCTTAAGGGGCAATTTAGACAAATTCCAGCTTTTTCTAGTAAGATCAATTATACCTATCACAGAAACTGCTAAATATTTTTAAATTATCTTGGTTAGGAGCTACCTAGCAAAATGTAAATTATTAACTTTCTTCTTGCAGCCATTGTTTTGTTGCATTTGGGCTTCAGGTAAATTCAAAAGTCAACACTGCCTCATGAGTTTAACAAAGAAGTGTTCTCCAGCAACAATTAGGAAATACATTTATTTCACAACATCATTTTTCAAACACTTATCAAATTCGGCCCAACTGAAACAAGACCAGTAGTTTCCTTGCTACATCTTACCTTGCCTGCCTGCTTAGTAGAACCTAACTTCAAATGCAAAGGAAGGAAGGATTGGAAATATTCTTTGGGTAGGTGGAAAAAACAAAAAGTAAAAGTTACAAGGTCTTAGTGTACATTATCATAATATTCATTATCACAAATGTGTAAAAATCACCCTCAAGAATGAAAATAAAGGTCATTGTTCTGGAACCTCTTGCTTCCTTCTCACAGAACTAAGACTTATTTTAAGAAGAATATAGATGCTTCCTTCACAATGACCTCAAAAGGTTAAAAATGGATTCCTACATTTCTCCCCTGAAATATTCCACTTAAGATTCATGAGGCTTACCTTAAGTTTCTTCTACTCCCCAGATTAATAATGTAATACAGCTTCTCACAACAACGTTCTTGCTGTCCAAACTAAAACATATTTATGTTTCCCTAGGTTTGCCTCTTTCAAATATTTTTTAAAAAACTGTGGACCCCTCAACCATACACACTTCATAGTTTTCTAGCTTTCAAATACAAGTTGAGTATCACTTATCTGAGATGCTTGGTACCAGCACTGTTTGGAATTTCAGACATTTTTCAGTTTGGAAATACTTCCATATATATAATGAGATATCTTGGGGATGAGGTTCAAATTCAAAATTCATTTATATTTCCTATATGCCTTACATACATAGCCCAAGGTAATCTTATATAATATTTTTAGTAGTTTCGTACATAGTGTGGGAATTTTCCACCAGTGGCATTATGTTACAGCTCAAAAAGTTTTGGATTCTGGAGTATTTCAGACTTGAGATTAGGTATATTTAATCACCTAAAGTCTTTTCTAGACACTTTTCTTACCTACTTCATTTTATCTTCATGTGAATTTTAAAAGTATGTATTCATGCTTTCTTGTTTTATTGAGTGTGAGCACTCTGGATTTTGAAGCACTACAGTTTTATACCAGAGGTGAACGGTGTTTGGTTCCCTTTGTGGGACATGCCTTCATCCAGAGTAGGCATTACATTGCCATTTTCAGAAAGCAGCCTACAAATATTTCTTCACTGGGACCAATAATAGAGTTCCTCAACTAGCAGCAATGGTTAAAATCCCCCTTTCCTTAAAATATACAACCCTGTCATTTTTTCCCCTGCCATTCCTCTTTCAGCAGCTCACTCTCATCAGTGTGACATTCCAATACTCAAATTACCAGTTAATCCAATTGGTTTCAAGCAGTTAGTGAGTGCCTGTTGTCTATGAGGCCCTGCAAAAGCCTCCCTAAACCTCACAAAAGCTGGAAGCCGATCCCCCATTGCAAAGTTCATAAAGGCAGGATTCCAAAACATAAATTTTTCGGTAGACAAGGTACAAATATGGAGAAAGTTTTTTTTAAAAAAACACATGGTGACAAGGTAAGAGAAAAATATTTAGAAACAATCAAGTGGCATGTACTTAATAGACTCTGTAGAAGGGCAAGAAGACTTGAATTATAAATGGAAGGTGACTGAGATTTCACTCTCCTTTCTTCCAGTTATTTTACAACAGCATGTAAGAAAATGAGTTTCAAGTAATATGAATATGATAGAGGAGTACACAAATGTTAAAAAATAATATGGTCAAATTTTGATACAAAAGCAAGAAAAATATTCATGACTCTTGGCTAAGGGGGAAAGGTTTCAAAAGAGGATCAGAATATGTTGTCATCTTTGTCCAAGAGAAAAATATATGTACACTGAGTCAAACAGTGAGTGTTACATATAATAGTCATTGTACCTGAGAGATAAGATTATAGGTCATTTTATAATAGGGCTATATATTTTAGCTAAGAGCATCTCCTTTTCACCCAAGAGTCTTTTTGCTGTTGTTGTTTTTTATTAAACAAAGTACCATCTGATCCTCATGAATTCTCCATGTTTAAATGCTCAATTGAGGACAAGGACATGGGGAGGGGGTGCACCACTATCTGGCCAATTCATTTGAACTTGAAAGTCAAAGTCAATCTCTTCTAAAAAAAATTTGTCTGCTGTATTGTTTTGCACTGTTACTCTCAAAAAATGGTGCCCATGATCCCAGCTGTGTTTCTTTGACTATCAAACATTCAATTTCTTTTTGAAATGTCACCTGATGATGAATTTGCACTTGACGTGAAGATCTCTTCTTTGAAAAGCACCTTTCACCTGGTGTCCCTACTCTTCATATTACAAGCCTTTAATGTGGGGGAGCTATCCAGATGCTTTTGTTTTATGCAATTCTGAATACACATTTCATCAGTTCTATGACAAGATTCTTTCATGTTTTAACACCTCTGAAATTGAATGCATTATAGAGTCAATGGAATCTCAATTATTTGGCTACATTTTTTCCTTATTGACACATAAATAATGATGTATCTGATAACTGATGATGTCTTACACCTGATGAAATACAGTGTATAAATGGCTATTTGTTTCAGTCAGAGAAATATAGCAGGCAGGCGAACCCAACATATGTAAACAATGGGGAAGAAAAAAATTCCTGAATTAACAGGCATTTTTCACTTTTCACTGAGGCTCAATGTTGAATCAATATTTCATTGGCCAGGCCAAGCTTATTCTAAAGGTAATGAGCACTAAAATGTTGTGAATGCCAGAGAAAAATCAATAGTTAAACATCCTAAAAATGACTTTGCCAAACTAAACTTCATTGTTCATTAGTGCGTTATTCAAAGTTTATTTTTCGGTGTGAATTTTTCATGGAATTTTCAGGGAATACAACTAATCTACCTAATACTTCACCTTATTCAGAGAATAGTGTACTCATGCCTGGCATCTAATAGTCCAAATTATTCAGTAATAAAACACTGTCACATTAGCTTCCTCCAAACTCACCTTAAACGCAGCTTCCAAACCATTGCAATTACAAAAACCTTCACAAACAACTGTCCCGAGCCTTCTGTCAAAATCCAAAGTTTGGGATTTAAATGCAGCATAATCATGTTCAAACTCCTGTAAAAGTCCAAGTCAAATATTCATCTACAGGAAAGAATCCAATAGTGAAAATAACAATCACATAAGCCTGACCTAATTTTGAGGGTTTGTTTTTTGATTTTGGTACCAGGGTTTGAACTCAGGGACACTTGACCATTGAGCCACATCCCCAGTCCAATTTTTGTGTTTTATTTAGAAACAAGGTCTCATTGAGTTGCTTAGTGCCTCACCATTGCTGAGGCTGGCTTTGAACTTGTGATCCTTCCTGTCTCAGCCTCCCAAGCCACTGGGATTATAGGCATATGCCACCACACCAAACCTCTGGCCTAACTTTCTGAATTTATTTTTCATAACAGGATCCCAAAGAAGATCAATGAACAGTTGTATTTGACTGAGCGAATGGCTGCCTGCTGGGGACACTGACTGCTCAGTGTTGTCTCCACGTCCACAGCCCTTTTCCCTGGCTCAGACCCCAGTCCCAGAACTTCAGTCCATACCCACACATAAGCATCCATGTGTCTCACTTCCCCCAACACATTTTGATTATAAACAAAAAGTAAAGCTTTCTGAACAGAAAGAAGGAGGAGGAGGAGGAGGAAGAACCTAGCCTCATTACAACTTTAGTCCATTGACAAGTGGGAATATTTTTGGTAGTTTTTCAGAACAGAAAACCTACATGGAAATGCTATTTCTTCAGGTGAGCACTAAAAATCCACAGGTCTGTGAGAAAACATTAGTGATACAGGACAAACAAATATTGCTTCTTTTCAGTTTCTTATTCATATGCAGCAAGCTCCCAGTTTCATAATATGAAACCACTCACTCCCATAACTAGAAGGAAGGAAGTGTTGAGAGAATAACTAGCATCCTCAGAGCACTGCAATTCCATCTTCTGCAAAGCTGTCGGAGGAATGCAGAAACTCTGGGGCTATCACAGTCAGGGTCCTCTGAAGCACCTGCTACTAACTTGAATTAACAAAGGCCTTTGTTGCCACATGAACTGCACTCTAATTGTTAACAGTCACTAATAATCATGATGACAACATTTATTTAGTTCTGTTAATGCTTCTTATCATTAACTTGATTCTCACAACATTATGTCATTTTGTCATTTATGTCATTATGTCATTTTAAAAGTGACAAAAAATTCAGAGAAGTTAAATAATTTGCAAAAGAACCAGGCCAAGGTCATGTCCAAGGAGATGGAAGACAGGAACCTGCTCAAGAGACAGGAGGTAAGATGGATAGCACTTGCCAGAGACAGGAGTAGAAGGAGTGACCCAGGTTTGTACTAGGGTGTGTAAAAAGGAAGAATCACAGGGTTGGAGTTGTGGCCGAGGAGTGGAACACTTGCCTAGCATGTTCAAGGCACTGGGTTCAATTCTCAGCACCACATATAAATAAATAAAACAAAAGTCCATCAACAACAAAATTAAAAAAAAAAAAAAAAAAAAAAAAAGGAGTTACCGCTTTATAGTAAACAACAGGACCAGAATTAAAGCCAGGTGGTCTGGGTCCTGAGCCCGACTCTCAACTATGATGCTGTTTCTATGGAGGAATATACTTATGATTGTCTGTGAACTCCTACCTCCGAATTCCTATGTTGAAATCCTAACATATTAGGAAGTAGGGCCTCTGGGAGGAAATTAAGAAAGGAGGGCAGAGCACTTCTAAATGAAGGGGACTATTACCTGCATTCAGATGCCTTGCAGAGACCCCTGGACCCACCCACTAGTTGAGGGCACAGCAAAAAGGCTCTAAAAACCTGAGGCAGCCTTTGCCATACACCAAATCTGCTGTGACCTTGATCTTGAACTTGCCAACCTCCAGAGCCATGAAAATTGAATTTCTCAAGTTTATGAGACACTGGATTTACACTGTTTTGTTGTAATAACCTGAACAGACCAAGATAGCATGTGACGCTGAATTCCACACACACTGGAAAACAGTGCACAATGGCAGAGTTCTAGAACACTGTGTGTTGTACACCAGTTATATTTAGCACCAACAGGAAGTCTCTATTTCTCCTGAATTATAGCCAAGCAGTCTCTCCATTCAAGGATCACTGACTTAAAAGTAAACACAACTTCCCAACAAGTTTTAACAAGCCTGACATGTCCAGCTTCTTGGTATATTAACACAGGGCACACAATTTATAATCCTCAAACATTACCCAACACTTAGAGACCAGCAACAACTTCAGAAGGAAAAAAAAAATGTTAAGCTCCATCCCAGATCTCTCCCCCTTACTTGTGCATTCCTGAAACCAAATTTAGAACTGCAGACAGGACCCCTCTCTCTCTCTCTTAGGAAGTCCTGCTGGGATTTCAAGCTTATCTTGCACAAAGTGAACTCACTGTCTTATCTATAAAGTTGTTCTGATTTTTTACACACCCTAGTAGAAACTTGGGTAACTCCTTAGACTCACTCTCTCTGGCAAATGCTGCCCATCTTCTCTTCTGTCATCTTGATTTGGTCCTTGTTTTCCATCTCCCCAGGCACGACCCTGGCCTGATGACCACCACTATTCATCTGAACAGTTAGAATAATGTTAGCCACTCTCTTAACTACTCTTTGCCAACAGTCTTGTTCCGATTCATCCACCAAACTGCAACCTTAATAGTCTTTCTAAAATAGAAATCTTATGTCACTCCTATTCATAATCCTTTAATTTGTAATCTCGATTCAGAATTCTGAATTTCCTAAGATAAAATCCAAAAGTGAGCGTAACCCTGTGTGGTCTGAACCTTAATCACTGTTCCTAAGTATTCTGCCACTTCTCTAAATTTTATACTCTAGGATCTGGCAACACCTATCATATCTCTTCTCCCAGCCCCCACCTCTCACCAACTCCTCACTTGATTCATTTCTATTTATGTTACAGGTCTTGATTTATTTTCATATCTGGAAAAGAACCCCTTGCAAATGTTCTCACAGCCCTACATTTTTCATACTCTAGCACCAAACACACTTTGTAATAATTACCTACCTGTATTGTCCCCTGGATTTTAAATCTATAAGCCTAATAGCCAGATTTATTTTTTCAGTTATGGTACCAATATTTCATGAGGTTCCCAGCTCATAGCTGTTTCTCAATATATGTTTACTGGAGAATAAATGATGACCTAGTATTATTTAGGAATCATTATAAAAATGTTTCCATATTTTGAAAACTACAAAGTTGACTTTATTAGCATCATGGGAAGCTATTGAAGGGTTTTAATTAGAGGAAAGCCATGATTTTACTTAGCATGTAAAAGGCTCTCAAGCTGTGGTGTGGAGAAGAGACCAATGCATCCTGGACAGCCAAGTGCAAAACCAGTGAATTATGGATCTGGTTTCAGGGTATATGTGAAAGAACTTGGCACTTTGTGAGGAAATGAGTGGGGTTTAGGATGACTCCAAGTTTTGTGGAGAAGCCAGACAAGAGTGGATTTGGAGCCAGTGGCAGACCCCTGTTATCCCACAACTCAGAAAGCTGAGGCCAGAAGATGGCAAATACAAGGCCATGGACAGAGCTTTCAACAGAAAACTAATACGAATCAATATAACAGGATGCAAGGTTGGTTGAACATACACAAATCAATAAATATAATTCACCACTTAAATAGAATTAAGAACAAAAATCACATGATCATCTCAATAGGTTCAGAAAATGCCTTTGATAAAGTCCAGCACTGGTTCATATTAAAAATGCTAAGAAAACTAGGGATCGAACGAATTTACCTCAACATTATAAAGGCCATTGATGACAAACCCAAAGCTAAAATCATACTAACTAGAGAAAAACTAGAAGCATTTATTCTAAAATCAGAAATAAGACAAGTCTGTTCACTCACCACTCCTTTTCAATATAGTCCTCAAAACTTTAGCAAAAGTGATCAGCAGTAAGGCTCCCCTACCCTGGGTTCAATTCCCGTAAAACACACAAATAAATTAGGTTTGGGGATGGGTAAAGCAAGAATTTAGCTTGTTAATTTTGAGATGTCTATTAAATATCTCAGAGGGATGATAAGTAGGCAGCTTATATGCTTTGTGTTCAGGACTTGGGATTAAGTTTCCTTTAGGTTTTTGCAAAAAATTTTTTTAAATCAAGTTGTGGAAGTTCTGTTTTACTAAGGGTTTATTTTGTTTTGTTTTGTTTTGTTTTTTTTTTGGTCATGAATGGGTGTTGAATTTGTTCAAATTTGTTTTCTGTATTAACATGATGAAAGGAATTTTCTTTTTTTGGCCTATTAATATAGAAATTATGCTGAAAGCTATAAATATTGATTTCAAATCAAATTAAAGAATGAAATGACCCTAAATTCCTAGAATAAATACCCATTGGACATGTACAATTCTTTTTATATTGGTGGGACTATTGATTGGTATCACCATTATGAAAAAACCATATGGAGGTTCCTAAGGAAAAAGAGTAGAACTACTATGTAACCCAGTAATCTTCCTTCTGAAGACTCTGATTTCATTGAGGGGTTAACCCACTGATGACTTCATAGGTGAATGGTCTATTGGGAGGTGGTGGGAACTGTTAGTGGTGGAAGCTAGTTGAAGGGAGTCCTGGAAAGTGGAGATTTCCCTTGGGGACTATATACACAAAGGAGAGAAATAACCTCATAAAGACATTTGCATTCCCACATGCAATGTGTGTTTACAAGAGGTGGGTTCAAAGGTGTGCCTTTGGGGTATATATTTTGTCCTTGTTTAAGGAAACTCTCTGCTTCCCAGTGTGATGTCTTGAGACACTTTTCTCCATTACACCCTTTTGCCACGATGATCTGCCACACTTTGGGACCCAAGGAATGGAGTCAGCTATCTATGACTGAGACCTCTGAAGCTGTGAGCCCCAAATAAATTTTTCCTCCTTAAAATTGTTCTTGTCAGGTCTTTTGGTAACGGAAAAACTGACTTTTAGTGGGAAAACCAACTAAAACACATATACTAACAATGAACAATCCAAAAAGGATATTAACAATTCCAAACTGGGTAATTCAAAGGGTGCACCATCTGCAATCCCA